TTTGAGAGCTGGTGGGGGAGAGAAGTGCAAAATGAGCCTAGAATATTTCTCCTCTTGGAATTCAGTGTCGTTGAAGCTGCTTGATTAGCATGAATTGATAGTTAAAACACTTAAAACAGTTTCTTCAAAGGCCCTGATCACCAACGACTTTTTCTTGGAGGAGTAATTTGTCGTGAGCCCCCAAAGTAAGCAACTTGCTGCATTGCTGGCAAATGGACCGACCATGTGGCTTCCCTGTGGATCCGACGAACTTGTTCCATCAGTCCAAGGATTTACACTTGTGCAATGGAACATACCCCTCCCTGTGCCCCTAAATCTTAGGGGTGTTCCCCCCCCCCATAAGAGTGTGCAGGGAGAGATGGGAAGGAAGCTACATTGCAGAATCGTACATCCTTTCAGTGGTTCTCAGCCGTGGGTCCCCGGATGTTTTTGGCCTACAACTCCCATGATCCCTAGCTCACAGGACCAGTGGTCAGGGATGATGGGAGTTGTAGGCCAAAAACATTGGGGACCCAAGGTTGAGAAAGGCTGCGTGATGGAGTTAATACGATACAACCCTCAGATCCTGATGCCAATCCTCAAAGAGTCAGCTTAAAGCCATTCTACTGATAAATATTCTGCACAAAGTAAATGAGTGTAGAATCACCGCTGTTTGGAGATCATCGCTTCGATCAGCCAGCTCGCTCAGCCGTTCTTCTCTGTCCAAAACTTTTTCAATATTCTGGCTCATGACATTTTTCACATCATCCACTTGAACTTGAAGCGTAGAAATTGCAGCATCGCCGTGTTTCTGATCAAACGCCATCTGCCCAGAATAAAGTTTTCATTTCACTTATTATACTAAATACGAATAATAATGCTAGCCATGGTTTTGTATAGCAATGCTTCCTGAAAAACAAGTCAGCCAGCCAATTATAGACTATTTGAAAACCTAATACAGTACTGAATTTTTCACCAAGTCTCTAGGTTTTATTCAAAAGATTTCTATCCTAATTTTCGGTCCTAAATTCACAGCAGCTCAAACACAAAAAGCTACAGGTAGAGTAAAAAATAGAACAGTAAAACCCAATATTAAAATGAGAAACAAGTAAGATTAAAAATGCATTTGTTTACTAAGCATTTATCAACGCTGTATAATGATGCCTTTTAGTATTTTATTTACAAATTTCTGAAGCGGTATTAAAAATCCAGCACAACTCTCTTGCCATATAAAGCCAACAGTAAAAGTAATATAACATGTTAAATACAAGAACCTGCAAGATATGAAATCAAAACCAACCATGAACCACCCGTTAACTCATTTAACTTTTAGTTTGGACAAGTAATTGGACCTTTTTAACCCCAAATGGTATGAAAGCAGATTGAGAGCCAATATTAAATCAACATAAAAGCTCAGGGTGTGTGTGTGTAAATTCTAAAGGGCAAGCATCAAATTTAAGATGGTGGTACATCTACCAAAGTTGTTCTATTGGCTAAAGCACTTATGGCCGTGCAACAAAACTTTGTTTCTCATTCCTCCCCCTACATCCCCCTTAAATCTATGCAGCATTCTCCAACGCTCTGGAGCAGATTTTGGGGGGCAAGGATGCGGAAGTCGCATTACAGAAATTGAACCTGCGCTAATGGAACGTGGCTGAATATTACCATCTGTGTCCCCCCCCCCAGTCTTCTATCAAAGAATTTTAACTGAGTTGATGGAGAATTTCAGTAGCTCAAATACAATTAAACCAAGCACAATTTGTTTATTGGGTGTCTTACCTACGTAGGGTGAGCTACAAGACAACAACACTTTTGAGATCAGGCAAAACTGTTAGAAAAATATCTCAACCAAAAGCAAGAGCAAAGAGGTGCGACTTCAGCATAGGGGTGGAAACCGCAATGAAGGTGTCAGATATACAAGGCACCCGCGTTCATGGAGCATAACTGCATTTGCACTGGGAACTTTTTGAAATCAGTTTGTATTTGAAAAACATGGTGCAGCTTGTACTAGAAGACAAATCCAGTCTTCAACACCTTTGTTAATAAACCTTTCATAGCCTCTAATGGTATACCCCACAGCCTTTCCTCTAGGTGCTAAACTATAATCTAATTTAATTAAACTAAGATCTAGGGTAGTGGTTACCTCTTAACACCTACTTTCCTTTGGATTTGCTGTCTTTTACAACCTTTCGGTCTTCCCTCTCCTAGCTTTCAGTAGATACTGTCCCAGTATTTGGCATTGCTTGCTGTATTGTGAAGTGAGGAGGGAGGGATATTGGCCATACTCATTGGGGAAAGGAATCCTGCCAACAGATGCCCCCTCCCCCCCAAACTGTGGGAATGTTCAGGGTGGCAGGAGCGCGTTACTTCCGGGTTTTGCTGCTCGCGCATGCGCAGACGCTCAAAATGACGGCATGGGCATGCGCGGAAGCGACGAAACGCGATTTGTGCATGCGCAGACACGCTGTCATGTCTTGCATTCCGTTCGGGATGCGAACGGGGCCCCGGAATGGATCCTGTTCGCATCCCGAGGTACCACTGTATATTCAAGTTATATTTTAGAATTGTGCTCTTTCTCCGCAATGTTATCACACGGCCGCTAGAGGTCATCTGAGCACTTCTACAAATTAATAGCAAACAAAAAAACATTCCCATGAGGTTAGGGCAATTTACCTTCACAAAACAAATAAATGATTAAACAACACTGAGATGCATGGAAATTCCTAAGTCTCTCCTCACCCATCCCACTTATCTACCATTAAAGTGCCTAGAAGTAATTATATTTTTGTACTGCCAAGTATCACAAAATTCACTATTATAAAGGGTTACTAATAGTATTTCCTTCAGCTCTCTGTGGAGATTTCAGAATGATCTAAAAGACTGCAGAGATCATGTTTGCTCTTTTGCAAAGGCTTCTAACGTTTGCCTTTTTGCATTCATATCACTGTCCCTTGTTGGATCTCAGGAATGCTCTAAGGAGGCGCAATGATAACACACAAAAAAGTGTTGCTGGATCAGGCCCGTGGTCCATCTAGTTCAGCATCCTCTTTTCACAGCAACCAACCAAATGCTTGGAGACTACTCACAAGCAGGACCTGAGTGCAACAACCAAGAGGATGCCAGCGTGGTTAATGAGCAGAATCAAGGAAGCTTACTGGAGGCAAGGAAATGGTCACTTATACCCAATGAGAACAAACATTGACCAAAGAAAGCAGAGATGGTGCAAATGAAGACATGCGAGGAACATTTTTCAGCTGTGTTTCTACTAAAGTGGTACCTCGGGTTACAGATGCTTCAGGTTACAGACACCACTAACCCAGAAATAGTACATTGGGTTAAGAACTTTGCTTCAAGATGAGAACAGAAATTGTGCTCCGGCAGCGCAGCAGCAGCAGGAGGCCCCTTTAGCTAAAGTGGTACCTCAGGTTAAGAACATTTTCAGGTTAAGAACGGACCTCCAGAACGAATTATGTTCTTAACCCGAGGTACCACTATATTGTGATTTTTAGGAACTCCCAAGCCTTACCGACTTCCCTTTCAACTTCACTTTTACCAATCCCCTCATTTGGCTGCACAGCGAAGAGACATACAAAGCATTCTGCCAGCTTCTCTGCAATTTCTGTAAAGTTGTGGGTGAACATATCAGACGACACAGCGATTCTTCAAACAGCTCTTGTTTATTCACAGGCCAGAACAGAACTGAGCTGAAGGGCTCAGCCAGCCTGCTTATATAGAGCTCCACTAGAACGCAACAGTAACCATTTTCTGTAACTATCCAATCACTGAACGTCACTTTTGATCCCTTATTTGCATATGTGGTCCTGAACTATCTACAGTATCCCCCTGCTGGCCCAGGGTGAGAGCTTCAGTACATAACAATTTCCTTTTCCTTCTTTGGCACACCTTTGACTCCCTTATGATCCAAAGGTCCAGCTGCCTTCGGAGCCCATTTCCTGCTTCCAATGCACTGACAGTCTTTAAAAAATATATATATATTCCAATGCAGCAAGACACTCAATTTCAGTCAAATCTAGTTTCCTAATCTTTAATCAGAACTCACAGAGAACAAGTAGCAGTAGGACATGAGAAGGGCTTATTTGCCCCTCTATAAGCATCTGATTCTAATTTCAGCAATTCCTTTCAGTGCCAGTTAGTGACTGATGAACTGTTATTCTTGTAACATGGCAATTTAAGACTTCACGTGTAAGAATAGCTATGCAATCCCCCAGCATTCGCAGAACTTCAACAACAATGGATTCCCATTCTTTACCAGATACATATTCACAGGAAACTCAAACTGACCATACAGCATAGTACAAACCAAAATTAATTACGGTACCATTCCGGGAATAACAGATATGTTAAAGTGGGGGCCCCTATACCTTTACCAAGTGTGGAAAGACTGAATTTCGATATCCTAAAGGTAAAGGGACCCCTGACCTTAGGTCCAGTTGTGGCCGACTCTGGGGTTGCGGCGCTCATCTCGCTTTATTGGCCAAGGGAGCCGGCGTACAGCTTCCGGGTCATATGACCAGCATGACTAAGCCGCTTCTGGCGAACCAGAGCAGCACACGGAAACGCCGTTTACCTTCCCACCGGAGCGGTACCTATTTATCTACTTGTACAGTACTTTGATGTGCTTTTGAACTGCTAGGTTGGCAGGAGCAGGGACCGAGGAACGGGAGCTCACCCCGTCACGGGGATTTGAACTGCCAACCTTCTGATCGGCAAGTCCTAGGCTCTGTGGTTTAACCCACAGCGCCACCCGCGTCCCTTCGATATCCTACACAGCGATTAAAGGTGTTGGACCTCTCTTGCTCTTTCACTTCTGACCACCTTTCTTTCACATATCTGTTATATCTGGGAAGCTATGCCATACAAGCAACCTCCGCTGAAACTACCCTTTTCTACCTCCATAGTAATGGCGCAGGAGCCCATTTTTCCCTACATGAAAGTAATGCGTGTGTCAAGACAATATTAATTCTTTAATAATTAATAGTAAATAATGATAGAATAGAATCCAATTCGACATTACATACACCATTATTGTTGTTTATGCTTTTCATTGATAATTTTACTGCTTTATCTTCTTTTGTAAACCGTTTTGATTTTTTCTTTTTACAATCAGGCGGTGTGTCCATTTTACGAAATAAATACAGTGGTACCTCAGGTTAAGTACTTAATTCGTTCCGGAGGTCCGTACTTAACCTGAAACTGTTCTTAACCTGAAGCACCACTTTAGCTAATAGGGTCTCCCGCTGCTGCCACGCCGCCAGAGCACAATTTCTGTTCTCATCCTGAAGCAAAGTTCTTGACCTGAAGCACTATTTCTGGGTTAGCAGAGTCTGTAACCTGAAGCGTATGTAACCTGAAGTGTATGTAACCTGAGGTACCACTGTAAACCACCAAGGTTTTCCGATCACACATGGGGCTGCTCCCCTCCTCTGGCCAACCCAGCCTTCCATAACACTTGACCCAACCCGCTCCCTGCACAACCCACCCACCCTGCCTATTCCCTCCCAACTCACCCCAAACCTTTTAAAGGGGCTTGGGAAACTACTCTCTGAAGCACTGCCCACCCTCCTTTAAACAGCTTGCGTTGTCCGCCTCTGCTGCCTGCTTGCCTGCTGTTTTGTGGTCATGCCGGAGTTGCCGCGGTCGCCCAACTGGTGACCGTGCAAACTGTAGCGTGACAGCAGCCTTACAATTTTACTCTATAGTAAGATTAGTTTCACACTCCATTGGCAATGCTGATTCAAAGCCCCGGTAGCCTCTTGTGGAAATCATTCCAATTAACTTTTGCAGGCGTGAATAAAATAAGATTATTTTACCTAAAGTAGCTTTAGAAGATCCGGGAGAAGAGTTAAAGTACTTAAAAGTGTATGTTTGTTTCCCTCTGCTCTTTGGAAGGTATCTGTCTAATGTGATGACGCAGTAGGAAGCAATGATTGAAACTTCTAGTTAATATTTTACTACAGTGACTAGTCTTTTTGGATAAGCTGTACAAATATTAAACTCAGAATGTTTCTGCTGCAGAAATAGTTATTTTACTGACACAATTAGATTTACTGTAAATAGATTGCTCATCTAGTTGTTTTCTTTATTGCAACAGTGAGAGAAGTTGGCAAAGTTACTTACCATGTATTTTGCTATTATTTCTTGAAAATCTGTTCCCAACTCTCAAAACACTGAGCAAAAAGTGCTTGTGATATCAAGGAGTTACTTGACTGCTGATTGCCTTGTAAATCTGGAGGGAAATTGAATAGTTTAACATGGAATTCAAGAATTCTATGATCAACACAATCAAAATGTCAAATAGACATCAATAGGCATATGAAATAATCTTATTTATCAGAATTGCCAAGATTTTGGCTAAGGAGGAATCCTATTTGTATAGGGTTACAGTCATATGAATTATATGAAGAACATAAGTGAATTGCAATCCTGCCCAGAGGCTGCTTAAATCCCACTGGAATTATTAGTATGTATCCTGAGGTACAGGGACGCGGGTGGCACTGTGGGTTAAACCACAGAGCCTAGGACTTGCCAATCAGAAGGTCGGCAGTTCGAACCCCCGCCACGGGGTCAGCTCCCGTTGCTTGGTCCCTGCTCCTGCCAACCTAGCAGTTCAAAAACATGTCAAAGTGCAGTAGATAAATAGGTACCGCTCTGGCGGGACGGTAAACAGCGTTTCCGTGCGCTGCTCTGGTTCGCCAGAAGCGGCTTAGTCATGCTGGCCACATGACCCGGAAGCTGTACGCCGGCTTCCTCGGCCAGTAAAGCGAGATGAGCGCCGCAACCCCAGAGTCGGCCACGACTGGACCTAATGGTCAGGGGTCCCTTTACCTTTACCTTATCCTGCGGTACACCCTTTGAATTGTGAGTATGCGATGAAAGTAGTGCCATCACATTTTGTTCAGATGCATAGCTTATTTTAAGGACTGAACTCCAGTGCACAGAATCATTTGGAAATGGGTAGGCAAACTAAGGCCTGGGGGCCAGATCTGGCCCAATTGCCTTCTCAAACTGGCCTGTGGACGGTCCAGGAATCAGCGTGTTTTAACATGAGTAGAATGTGTCCTTTTATTTAAAATGTATCTCTGGCTTATTTGTGGGGCCTGCCTGGTGTTTTTACATGAGTAGATTGTGTCCTTTTATTTAAAATGCATCTCTGGGTTATTTATGGGGCACAGGAAGACAATAATAATAAAAACAACAACAGTTCACCTGGGCTGCTTCCTCCTTCACCTGCCTGCTATTCTGTCATCATGGTGTTGGTGTGGCCACCTACTGGCAGTCATGCCAATTGCACCATGACGACATTACATTTCTATGTACTGTATTTTTCGCCCTATAGGACGCACTTTTCCCCCTCCAAAAATGAAGGGGAAATGTGTGTGCGTCCTATGGGGCAAATGCAGGCTTTCGCTGAAGCCTGGAGAGCGAGAGGGGTCGGTGCGCACCGACCCCTCTCGCTCTCCAGGCTTCAGGAAGCTATGCACAAGCCTTGCAAGCCCGGCTGGAGTTCCCGCGGGTTTGCAAGACTTGCGGGCAGCAGCCTGCAGCCCACAAGCTCGGGGGACAGCGGGGAGGCGCAGCGCGCCTTCCGGCTGTTCCCCGACCTGGTTTGGATTCCCCGACCTGGTTTTGGGGGGGAAATAAAGGAAATTTCCCCCCCTTTATTCCCCCCCAAAACTAGGTGCGTCCTATGGGCCGGTGCGCCCCATGGGACGAAAAATACGGTATATAGGGAAGCATATCTCTAGCGTAATCCTCTAATCCATTTGTTATTACAGTTAATCTTTAAAACCTGGATTAGGCCTGGTTTATTCATGAGAAAAAAATGCTGCAACACTCGACTTACCTTCCCGTACAAACAGGTGCTTTCTCCAAGCCTTTGCGTACAACTTAAGTCACTGCTGATGCGGTCCCCTAAAAACAAATGACAAATGTTTGGTGCTTGTTAGGAAAAACATGCAGCGTGAACGTTATTTGTGTATCACCCGGTTGCTATTGGATTTGCACTGCCTTCTGGACTCCTTCTGCACTCAATTAAAGGTGTACTGCTTTTATTTATTCACTTCATAAATTGATATATCACATAATTACAGTGGTCTCAACAAATGCAATGGAACCAACGAAAGAAGAGTGGCAGATGAAGATGATGGACTTTGCAGAACTGGCGAAGCTGACAGGAAAAATCCGAAAGCAGCACCATCAAGTATTCCAAAAGGATTGGAGTAAATTTATACGATATCTGAGAGATTGTAAACTATTAACATCACCAGCAGGGTTGCTTGAAGACTTGTAATGAGAAATTTTCTGTCTTTCTATATTTATTTAAATTTTGAGCCATTCTGTAATGAGTGTAATTAGAACTGGGAAACGTATAACTTGCAATGATATAAAGGTCAATTTCAAGAGCCATGAGGCGGGAGGGAAGGAAGTCGAAAGGCTCTAAAGGGCCAGAGCGGTATTGTGAATAATGATGATGTGAATGTATAATATTAAATGGAAAATAAATAAAAATTACACACACACACGCAATGGGGATAAACCAGTTGAAAACTAACTATAAAATTTGAAATGACTTTAAAAGTCTTCAAGTAGGTACCAGAGGGAGGGGGCCTGTCTGATATCAGTTGGGAGTTCCACAAAATTGGGCCCACAGGCCTGAATGCACTACTCCTGGGTGTGCCTAGCAAGCCTTAAAATAAATGGCTTGGTGTGATGTTAACATACGAGAGTGCTGGAGGTGAAATAGTTAAACAGGTTACCCAATCAGAACCCAGGGGGGTGGAGTCAGAGGGACTATAAAACCAGCTCTGGGAGGGGCAAAGGGAGGGAGTTCGTTGGGAGGTTGGTTGGAGTGGGAGTGAATTGGGATAGAGTCTGTGGGTAGGTGGAGTTAGTGTAGCGAAATAAGTTGAGTCAGGAGCAGTTATGGGCTAGGAAGACAAGTAAATATCTGAGAGGTGGTTTAGTGAGTGAGAGCAGGTAGCGGAAGTTATAGGTCTGGATAGGCACCCCATGATTGTAATGGACCGATACCGTTTATGAAACCACACGCTTGTTAAACTGCAATAAATAAACAGAATTTTATGTTCCAATTTAACCCTGACTGGACTCAGTATTGTACCTGGTAGGGCCTGGGTGGTGGCAGCGAGAAATAAAGTGGTGGCACAGGGATCAATAGACGGTGAAAGGTCCGGGGACCCTGTGTGATCGCCACACTTGGTACCTGGGTGTTTGACAATTTGCCTTCTCCCATTTGAGTCACCCTGTGCATTTCTACCCAACACCAGAGGCCTTGCTTTGGCTGCCTCTGCTGATAGAGGAACGGGGGACATCAATGAGCAGCGCCTTTGGGGTTTGTTTGTTTTTTGCCAGAGTGCCTAAAATTTATATCATCCTCATTTTTCCTTTAAGGCACACGGAAAACAAAAGTTGCAGTGTTGGCCCAGAAGAAAAATGCCAAAATCTATCCTGGGGCAATACCCTTATTAGGCCAACTGAAATGCCACAGAATTGTGTGCAAGCTTTTTGCTCTAATCCAGAACTCTTCATCAGGAGATGGTAAACAAAACAGCCAGCTCTGGAGGAAAGACACTGTAGAGCCCAGCCTTCCCTAACCTGATGACTTCCAGATATTTGGGATGATCACTCCTTGACCGGCTTTGATGGAAGTTGGGGCCCAAGACCTCAGTGGGGTGGGGGGAAGATAGGTTAGACAAGACTGATCTAGCCTGATGGAGAAATTTCTGGAGAAAAATCGAAAGATTTCACAGATAGTGACATTTGGGCTGCCTAATATTGCCTTCATACAGATCCTGAAATTGTTATTCTTCCAAAAGTCATCCCACATGGAACTGTATGGGACTTGTAGTTTTATTTAGACTATGAGCCATCTTGGGGGTTCCAGAGTGGAAGAGAAAAGGTAAAGGTAAAGGGGACCCCTGACTGTTACGTCCAGTCGTGGCCGACTCTGGGGTTGCGGCGCTCATCTTGCTTTACTGGCCGAGGGAGCCGGCGTACAGCTCCCGGGTCATGTGGCCAGCATGACTAAGCCACTTCTGGTGAACCAGAGCAGTGCACGGAAAAGCCGTTTACCTTCCCGCTGGAGCGGTATCTATTTATCTATTTGCACTTTGACGTGCTTTTGAACTGCTAGGTTGGCAGGAGCAGGGACCGAGCAACGGGAGCTCACCCCGGCGCGGGGATTCGAACCGCCGACCTTCTGATCGGCAAGCCCTAGGCTCTGTGGTTTAGACCACAGCGTCACAGTGGGGCGTATATTTTAATACAGTGACACAAATAAATTCCCACCTAAACCTTTGTACCCTAGACTGCTTTTGAACATCAGAGACATGCCCCTTTTCTTTTTAAAATGTTTTTTTTAAAATATTTTTTATTAAAGATTTCTTAGTTTACAAAAATACGTGCGTGGTCTCTTTTTTCAAGTTGTGTTTTCTACAAATCAGTTTCATTGGTTGTGAGACATTAGTGTTGCATGCAATATTATTCTACTAAGTGTATGTGTGGGGTTTTGTGTCAGGGTTACTTGTGTGGATTCCCTTTCTATTTGCTTGTTATATTTCCTTGGTGGGGAGAGAGGTTGGGGGTGGCTGAAGGCGGTGGTTGGTTGTCTTTGGCTGGCTGTAGTGAGGTGTGTTTAAGTGTGTGAGTGTGGATTTTTGGGTCACGCTAGCCATATTGATTCATATGCTGTTGGCTGATTCTTCTTGTCTTGTTGGGTTGTGCATGTGATAAAGGGGAGCCATACTGGGGTGAAGATGTCTTCTTCTATTTGTCCCTGTGTCAGTTTTAGTTTATTGGTTAGTTTTTCTAGTAAGGCTGTTTCCCCATACTTTTTGACACCAGTGGTCCATGTTTACTCCTGACAGGCCTCTCCAGTGTCTGGCATCTATGATGCTTTCCCTTTTAAATGTTTGCTGTTGTATTGCATTTTAATTTGTTGGAAGCCGCCCAGAGTGGTTGGGGTAACCCAGTCAGATGGGTGGCATATAAATAATAAATTGTTATTATTCTGAAAAATGCAATGGGCACCATTCAGCCACAGTTAAGAAGCACATTGAAATGCCATTGTTTTCAGTGGTGCAGTTCAGTAAATGCTTCCCTCTCTCAGAAATTGGAAGAGAATTAAGTGATTTTGATAGCATTGTGCCTCATGTGCCCTATTAGGGGGGAAAAAACCCCCAGCACTTTGGGAAGATGATATCAGTTTTATATGAGGAAGCTGTCTGCTTGCTCTTAATCTGTTTTAACAACTTCCAAGCCTAACATTTCTAACTGAATGCAGCACTCACAGACCGATAAAAAGCCTTATGAGGTGTTTATCTCATTTAAAATCAAAGATCTAATACCTCTGGTTTCTGGATCCCTCTGGATTGTACAGGCTTTAAAAGGAATACTTCAAATAATTCTCTCTCATATTGGGCATAGGACTTCAGCAAGGGAGGACACAAACAATTCTCCAGTTTGTACTTCTACTGGGTTTAAGAGTCAGTGTGGTTGTAGTGGTTAGAGTTTCGGACTAGGACCTGGGTTCAAAACCCCACAAAGCCTACTTTATCCTAACCTACCTCACAGTGTTGTCAAGAGAGGCTAAAATGGGGAAATGTGTATGGCACCTTGAGTTCCTTGCAGAAAAGGTTGGATATAAATGTATTAAAATAAAGAAAAAGGTCAAAGCTCATGATTTCCAGCTCTACTGAGGGCACAGGAAGGGGGAGAAATGGGATTGCGGGTGGCACAGCTTTACCTCAGATCGTAGATGATTGTGAGGCAGGGAAGGGAGGAGAGAGAGTGTGTTTATGTGCCTGGGATGCGGGAAGTTGTGGTGTTTTGGAAGAAAAAGGGCCCATAGGGATTAGAAACTGAGTGGATGAACCCAGAGACTTTGGGATTGTTTGCGCATGTATAGGTTTAGAAAGCAGTATGGGTTTGTATCGTTTAGAAAGCAACATATTTATTATAGGCACTTGACTTAAATGGTGGCAAGGAAACGCAAAACCTTACAGTACATTTAAGGTAGTAGCTTTCAGCGTTTTTTAAAAGTAATTTATGGGTGATAATCCCTCCCTTCCCATTTTTGAATTTGGCAACCTGTAAAGACCCCGCTGAAATAAGTCCGCACAAGTCAACATGACTCTGATTAAAATTCTTTTGGGATGTCTGTGGACCAGGATACAAAACCAACAAGTGCTTAAATAAAGTTACGGAGGGAAAGAATAGCAGTGCCCCCAGCACAGCGGATAAACTGAGGAAGGACGAAATAAAGGAGGGACAGGGTAAAGAGGAATGTATTCCCTGGTACTAGGAAATCACTGGAAAATTAAAGGTTCAGCAATCACACGTGAAAGAGGCAAATCCGATTAAGGTAAAATCTTGTGGATATTATTTAACTGTACATTATCTTATTAAACAATAATCCCCATGGCATGCTAATAATAACAATCAATATACATTTATAGACTATCAACTGAGAAGACTCTCTTCCAGTGTCCTTTTCTCTCTCACCCTAATCTTAACTCCCCATCCTCTAACTGCCTCTCCTAACTGCCTCTTAACTGCCTCAGAATGCTCCTGTCAATCACAAGAAGCTTTTCACCAACATCCCAAAAGGACCATGAGCATCTATTAGTATTGTTGTTGTCACTCGCTTACAAAGCAGCTATTTCTTCCCCCTAAGCACCGTAAAGAGATTAATTAAAAGCCAAGGAAGTCTTTGCCTGCAGGCTGACAATGTAATAGACCCAATACAAAAGAGGGGAAAAAAATTATGAATTCGTATTTATGGGGGTGGGCAGGCAACTTGTCTTGCTTTGCAGAAAATGGTCCTCTGTTTGATGGGCTGTCAGCGGCACAGCCCCCCATTTGAAAAAATTCTCTCTTTGGAGGGCTGTCCAGTCCAAGTCTGGAGAGCATGAGTGGCCTTGGAAGTTGTGAAATCATTGAATCAGAATCACAGCCTTGGAAGGGACGCCAGGGTCATCTAGTTACAACCCCCTGCAATTCAGGACTTTTTGTCCAATCAGTGAGCACCTGGGCAGCAGACAGTGAAAGCACCTTTGTCACCACCCTCCCCTCTCTGCTGGGACGTCTTCATTTCTACAGTGGTACCTCAGGTTAAGAACTTAATTCGTTCTGGAGGTCTGTTTTTAACCTGAAACTGTTCTTAACCTGAGGTACCACTTTAGCTAATGGGGCCTCCCGCTGCCACTGCACATTTTCTGTTCTCACCCTGAAGCAAAGTTCTTAACCCGAGGTACTATTTCTGGGTTAGCGGAGTCTGTAACCTGAAGTGTCTGTAACCTGAAGCGTATGTGTCAGAGCTGGCTCCAGGTCCCAGCTCACAGAGGACCAACGCTAGCCGGCAGTAATGTACAAAAGTCTTTATTGAAGTACAGTTTCCATTTTCAAGCCGCAGCGCCCCAGCTCTACGTCTAGGGGTTAGATCGGCGAAGCTCCATCTGAGTCTCCGCCCCCTGTACACCAGTTTAAGATTCTAGCCTTACTCCACCTCTTACGTCTCTCCTTTCTCCTCTGGGTCCTGCTACCCCCCGGGGTCCCTTCCTTCCTGGATTCTTCTGACGCTGACCCCCTGACTCCTCCCCCTCTTTTCGGCGGGCTTTGGGACCTGGCTCCCTATCCGGGCTGCCAACTGCGCCGCCCTCCTGTACATTTGAACTTGGCGCGCGCGCCCAGCCTTCAACCTTCCTCTCGACCGTTTCCTCGCTCCCCGATGGAGGCGTGGCCAATCCTGACTCATGTCCTCCCACTGGCAGTGCGCCGCCTGATCCCGATGCCTGGGACCCCTCCCCCCTACTGCACTCTGGTGTGGACGCTGGTCCTGATTTCCAACTGCTGCTCTCTGAGTCCCCTCTGGCCCCTTCTTCCTGGGGTGTCCCCTCGGCACCCCCTTGCTCCTGACCAAGGGAGCCCCTTTCTGTGAATCTTCCGATTCGCTGGAAAGACTCAGAGACCTCGGACCGCTGTCATCGCTAACATTTCCTTCGGACTCCTCCCCCTCGCTCTCTATTTCCTCCCTTTCCTGTGCCTCTGCTCCTGAACCCCTGACATCCATCCCCCGGGAAGCCCCCCTTCCCCCTCCCCTCCTTCAGGTGTGGGTACTGGGTGCTCCGTCGTTGTGGGGGTGAGTGCCGGATACAGTTCGTCCCCCGTGGCGTGCATCCAGCCGGATAAGTCCGGCTCGTCCTCCGTGCTCTCGCCGACCTCAATTTCCTCTGCTTCCATCTCTTTGCCGCCGTGCTCGAGCCCAAGGTCCTCCCCAACACGTCCATGTCCGTCTCTCCCCGGTCTCCTCCGGGGACGTTGCCTGCCAAGGACCCCCAGCCACTTCCTGCGCCACTGCTCCTCTGGTCGATTGTCCCACCAATAGGAACGGTCTGAGGCAGACCCGAGGGTGATCCCTCCGGATAACGTGTTTCTAGTGCCGGTTCCTCGTCCGAGGTGAACCCCTGGAATGTGCTAGCTGAAAATGTGGGTGTGAAAAGCCAGTCGTCGAAATACTCGGCTGGCATGGGCCTGTGTGGGAAAAGGGCATGAAACTCGTCCTTGAGAAAAGGTTCGTCCAAGGCATGGTCTGGCACCCAACTGTTGGCGCTGGCCGGGTACCTTCTCTGGCGAGAAGATATTCTACTCCCTCTTCCCCCCATCTCGAGTCTAAAATCTCTGTGACTTCGTTGACGGGTTCCCGCCTTGGCGACCCCCCCCTTGTGGGCGTTTCCCTGAACGGGTCTGGTGCCGTTCCTGGCTCCTGAAATCTATGAGGTGCTTTGTAGGGCGTGAGCACTGATCTATGGAAAACTGGGTGCATTCTGGATCCCTCCGGCAGTGTCAACCGGAAGGCCACTGGATTGACCTGTGCCTCGACTTGGTAGGGTCCTAGCTGCTTATGCCCTAGCTTCTTCTTCGCTAACGATCTGGCCGGCACTGCCTGGGCTGCTAACCAAACCCAGTCTCCCACCTGTATGTCTTCCCCAACCCTTCTGTGCTTGTCAGCCTGCAGTTTGTATGCGTGCTTTGCTAGTTCTAACTGCCTCCGAAGCTGTTCGTGAACCTCCTGCAACTCTGATGCTAAGGCTTCCGCTGCCTGTGGCTCCCCCTCCCCCGCTCTCGCTAATCCCGGGAAGGTTCTGGGATGCCTCCCGTTGTTGGCGAAGAACGGTGTCACCCCCGTGGACACGTGCTTCGTGTTGTTGTAGGCGAACTCAGCGAGCGGCAGGTAGTCCACCCATGTTGCCGGCTGCTGATTTGCGTAGCATCGCAGGTACTGCTGCATGATGGCGTTGACTCGCTCCGCTTGTCCGTTCGTCTGCGGGTGTCTCGCCGACGCTAGGTTGATCTTGACGTTCAGGAAACCCATCAGCTTCTGCCAGAAGTTCGAGATGAACTGTCGCCCCGGTCGGACAGGATGGACCGTGGCAGACCGTGAACCCTGAACACGTGGTCTATGAACAGTTTGGCGGTCTGTTCCGCCGTGGCCACCTTCGCGCACGGAATGAAGTGGGCCATTTTGGTGAACATGTCCACCACCACTAGCACTGCCGTCTTGCCCCTCGAGCTGGGTAGATCCGTGACAAAGTCCAGGGCCACCCTCTCCCACGGTTCGAGCGGTGTCTGCAGCGGTTCGAGCAGTCCCGTCGGCGGTTTGTGCACTGACTTGGCCCTTTGGCAGGTGTCGCACCTCGAGACGTAATCCGCGACTTCCCCCCCGCATCTTGGGCCACCAAAAATCTCTGGCTACTAATTCTACCGTCTTCTCTTTGCCAAAGTGCCCGGCGGTGGGTGCGTCGTGCAACTGCTGCAGTACTTTCGCGCGGAGGTCGTCTCCCGGTACGTAGAGGGCCCCTCTGCGGATGAGCAATCCGTCGCGTATCTGGAACTCGTCGTCCTCCGCCGTGCCCCTTTGCACCTCTGCCATCTTTGCTTGCGCGAAGGGGTCCTCCTGCAGTGCTCGACGTACAGCATCCAGGTCCACGGTTGCTGAAGCGCACGCCCACGCTTTCGGTGCGAAAATGTGCTTGGCCGCTGCTGGTGCCGCCTCCTCGAGGTATTGCGGCTTTCTGGACAGTGCATCCGCCATGATGTTGTTGTCGCCTGGGATGTACTCTATCCTGAAGTCGAAATCCGCAAAGAACTCCGCCCATCGTATGTGCCTCTGGTTCAGGAACCTTGCCGTGCGCCAGTACTCCAGGTTTTTATGGTCCGTGCGGACCTGCACTGTGTGTTTGGCTCCAATGAGGAAGTGCCGCCACGCCTTGAATGCTGCATGAATGGCCAGCAACTCCCTGTCCCAGATGGTGTAGTTCTGCTCTGACTTGCTGAGCTTCCTGGAGTAGAAGGCACACGGTCTCCAGTCCCCATGCGGGTCTTGCTGCAACAGTACTGCTCCCACGGCTCTGTCTGAGGCGTCCGTTTCAACCCTCATCGGTCTGCTGGGATTCACATGCAGTAGCTGCTCTTCGGACGAGAAGAGACGCTTGAGTTTCTGAAAGGACTGCTCCGCTTGCTCCGTCCAGATGAACTTCTTCTTCTTGGAGCTGAGCGTGTCGGTAATGGCCGCCGTCTGCATCGCGAACCCCTTGATGAACTTGCGGTAAAAGTTGGCGAAACCGACAAACCGCTGGACCTCCTTCCGATTGCGCGGGCTCTTCCAGTCCAACACTGAGCGAACCTTGGCGCTGTCCATGGCGAGCCCCTTGTCCGACAACTTGTAGCCCAGGAAATCTACCTCCTTCATGTCGAACTGGCACTTCTCCAGCTTGGCGTACAGCCTGTGCTCCTGCAGTCTCTGCAGAACTTCCTTGACGTCTCCCTCGTGGGTCTCCTCTGATTCTGAAAATATCAGGATGTCGTCCAGGAAGCAGACGCATTTCTTGTAGAGGAGACCCGCCAATACGTGATGCATGAAGGCTTGAAAACAGTGGGAGCCATTTTGTAATCCAAAGGGCATAACTCTGTATTCATAGGTGCCCAGGGGCGTGAACATGGCAGTCTTCCATTCGTCGCCCTCCCGTATGCGAATCAGGTTGTACGCCCCTCGCAGATCCAACTTTGTGAAAACGCGTCCTTTCCTCACCGTTGCGAGCAGGTCATCTATCTTGGGCATGGGAAAGGCTGTGGGCTTGGTTTTCGAGTTCAAAATTCTATAGTCCACCACAAGCCTTTTTGGGGCGTGTCCTTCTTCTTCACAAAGAATACAGGACTGCCCCCACTGCCTTCGACTCCTGGATGAAACCGCGCTTCAAGTTGAGGTCTATGAACTCCTGAGTTCCTGCAGCTCGTCTTCAGACATGGAATACAGTTTCCCGGTTGGCAGCGTCGCCCCTGGCAGGAGGTCAATCTTGCAGTCATAGGACCTGTGGGGAGGTAGCTTGTCCGCTTCCTTCTCGCAGAAAACCTCCAAAAACGCTGCGTACTTGAGTGGCACTGCTTGCAGCGTGCCTAATTGTAGCTGCGGGTCATCCTCTTCCCCTTCCGGGCTAGGCAGAATGCAATGTTCCGCACAGTATGAGGAGCCGAAGGTCAGTTGTCGCTGGTACCACGCCAATGCTGGGCTGTGCCTGTGCAGCCAACTCATGCCTAATACTATAGGCGTGTCCGACAGTTGGGTGACATTGAAGCTGATGACTTCTCGGTGATTCCCAATTTGCATCATCATCGGAGGCGTTTGCTGCACCACCTGCCCCCCCAGCAATTCCCTGCCATCCACCGTGACAACTTTCAGAGGCAGCGTGGCTGGCAGGAGTGCTATGTTGTGCTCTTGAATGAAATCCAGTCCTATGAAGTCTGCGTTACTACCAGAGTCAATGGTAATCGGCACTTCCATAGTGAGTCCATTGGGTAGTTGGAGCGATGCTGTGAGCTGCACCACTGGTTTGGGCGGGAGGGGTCTGTGGGCTGCAAAATCTCTGGGGACGGCTTCATTGACTTGTCTGGCTGGGCCCCAGTGCCTCTTCCTCCAACCAGACTCTGTCGTTTCCCTGCTGTGGTTCTCTCTGCTGAGTTGCGTCTGTTACTGTTGCTGAGGCTGCAGTGTGCTTGTGGAGCCTCTGGGGACACTCTTTCGCCATGTGCTGA